TATGGGTCTTGCATGGGTACATACTGAAGATGAAATTTCACAATGTAGTGAGAGACACATAGATGTGAAAAAGTGTTAATTTTTTTGAGAAAATTAATCAAATAAGCTACACATGCGAAGTTTTGAAACTTCCACTTTCCAGTCTTGAGACACAATATACCAATACTAATTGGTGAAAAACTCATGAGACTTCTTCTTAGACTTCTTTATCATTCCCATGGTTTGAATTCGTTCCATGTTATCTCCTCAAATGACCTCACCAACTCTTTGATCACAACCTCTCTATCCTCTAATTCGAGGAGACGTTCTTCAGCGTTATGATCATCTCTTACTTTTCCTCTCTTGAAGCACATTTTTAGGTTACTCTCAGGCAGAATGATGAGTTTTGGTAACACTCTAACCTCACGGGGCGATATGCTAATATGATGCTCACTACGCCATTTTTCCGAAGCACACATCGAGAAGTTATGTCGTCATCAGAAGTTCCCCATAAACTTAACAACATAACCTCCAATGTTGGTACTTGTAACACACAAAGCCCTGAATAACAAAAAAAAAAACCCATCAATTAATCTAAAACCTTTCGTTTTTGTAAATCTATGCTATAATGTATTGGGGCAATTACAAAAATGCCACTTTTTGTGTGCTTATTTGCAAAAATGCCACTTAGGGGTGTCTATTTACAAAAATGCCAGTAATTATAGATTTATAAAGCCTATATCTTAAAATTCTAAACCGTAAAAAATGTTTTGACAGCTAAAACCCCCTAAACACTCAAAACTAAACCTTAATAGAACATAATTAACTCAAACATAAATAATATATAGAAAAAATAATTTTGAAAAAGTGATATTTTTGTAAAGATTTCAAAAGTGTGGCATTTTTGTAAAGTGACACTTGAAAAGTGGCATTTTTTGAAATTTCTCTAATGTATTTAGGGTTAGATCTGATTTTGTACACACATAACAACAGTGTTTGGACTAACGCCATAACTTATTTATGCTAACATGTTTCCTCACACATCTTGGTGTGGAATATACGGGTTCACCTCCCGGGTGAGAGCATCCCGTATTGTTAAAGTATGGATTGCGCAGACGAATAGCCAAGAACATTGAAAAGTAGAATAAATTTTAATCACTTTGCCATTATTATATGTTCTTTGCATTTGAAATGATAATTTACCTCTTCGTTTACTACATCGTGGTGCTTAAATTACCACCATGCAATTATTGTGTATATTAATCTTTTGAAGAGAACCTTGATCGCAAAGGAATCCACAGCATGGTATATTAATCTTTTGAAGAGAACCAAGGAATCATTTGATACATAATGCACATCAAGTACCCCAATGACCCTAAACAAAAACCAAAACATAAGAATCATACGTCAATACTTGAGAATTCAAACCATTTACGCGTAAAACATAATCCTCTTCTTCTTATTATATTAAGATAAAAAACATAATTTAAAAATAAAACAAACATTTAGTGCACAGCATAAACAAACATCTAGTGCACATA